TCACACCGGGTACCCATTTTCTGCTGGGTGAACAGAGGCAGTTTTGAACAAACTTACTTGCCTAAGGTGAGACCACATGTGTGCTTGTTGTCGGGCAGGACAAAAGTCCTAGAAACTCCCAGGAGTCAAGCTGCCAATCACGGTCACCCATCCAAGGACTTTCTGTGACTAACATTGCTGAATTTCACCTGATTTATGACCTGTGTTTTGTGCACAAGACCACACGCCACCACACACCACCACTCTACACCATTTCAATATTTTATGGGACCCAATAATTACCGGCAAGCACAAGTACAGTGTGTGAAGTCTATAGTTTCCCAACCAACCAACCAACCAACCCTCCTCGCAACCAACCAGTCAACCTCCCACCCACCCACCCACATCTTGTATTCCTCAAGTTTCTATGTAATGTAGCTATGTTCCACCACACAGAATGTATGTAAAGGTCTCGTCACAAAGTTGCAGTTTCCAAATTTTCAGCTAGAAGTTTCATGTCCAGAAGTAGAGCTATCATTACAGATACAAATGTCTCAATCAATCACTCAGGTGACCAAGTGCTAAATTGGACATAATCGCTGACCTCCTCTAAATGATAGTGCTTGCCAGGAACTGGTTCCAACAATGTCCTTAGAGCTATTCCGATTGTGATCTGACTGTGATTAGTTGTGTGCAGATAGTGTGACGAAGTTGTCAGTGTCTTATACACTGGATGTTCATCGAAGTATGCATCGTAAAGACTTTAAGCAGTCATTTTTTCTAACGTCTTTATCTTGGATTCATTGAGCCTCAGATCATATTAATTGCATCATCAGTGAGTATTTATGTATATCCGTCCATTGTGAAGTACTATTGAATCTCACAGTAGATTTGACAGACTGCTGCCAAGTAATTGTCACGTCGGTGATTGATTGGAGAATAAAATGGGTTAGGAGAGGCATCCCGGAAGTACCAGATTACAGAGATGGGGGTTGGCGGCTTGGTATCAGTATTGTAGTGTGGGACACTTGGTGCCGTAACATCATTTAGACTGAACCACGCTTCGATGGAATTTAAACATGGGTTGTGACAGTCAACTGCATTAAGAAACTTGACTGAAATTTGAAAAACTGTTGTTATCGGTTGTCATCAACAGTTGATGATGTAATATCTTGTTAAAGGGAGGAAAATGTGAACCTCATGGAGGAATAAGGATATATTCCAAAACGGTTTCTTCATAATACACAATGGTCAGGCTCTCTTACTTGGTTGACACATCGATTCCCAATTGTGCAGATCGATGCTCATGCTGTTGATCACTGGATTGTCTGGTCCAGACTCGATTATTTACAGACCGCCGCCATATCGCTGGAATATTGCTGAGTGTGGCGTAAATCTAACCTCACTCACTCACTCATAATACACAAGTTACATCCATAAAGGACAAGTGTCAGTCTGATTGTCTCTGTTTATTGTGTGTGATAGTGAGTGAGTGAGTTCAGTTTTATGCCACACTCAGCAATATTCCCGCTTTATGGCGACAGTCTGTAAATAATCAAGGACCAGACAATCCAGTGATCAACATCAGCATCATTCCACACAATGTGGATACGATAACATGTGTCAACAGTTAGCGAGTCTGACCACCCTCTTCCGACAAGCATGGGTTCCTGAAGAACAGTTCTAACCCAGATCTTCACGGGTACGACAAGCATGGGTTACTGAAGATCAATTCAAACCCGGATCTTCCCGGGTATGAGAGGGATAAGGGAGAGAGATACTAAACATTAGCTGGCCACAATACCTTCACAAACCTGTAAGAAAGCTCATAATCCATACTTTCCAATTTGTGTTTTGTGAAAAATATATGTATGAACTTTGAGAAGGTGTCAAAATGTCAACACAATCGATGAGTGCTCAGTCAAACTTTAACAGTTACCCTGAATAGAAACAGAGTGAAAGTAAATATGACTGTCAAGATCAATTTTGTTCCAATAATGGTGTTTACTTTACTCAGAAATATCCTTCTCCTACTTGTCATGTGAACTCTCACATTAGTGAAGTGAATAAAGAAGATGCTAACTGCCTCATGTGCAGCCGATGCAGGTCAGGTTAACCGATGATGATGAATTCAAGTGTCGTTATACGCGGGGATATAGCATAGTACAACCTAACCATGTGTTACTTCTCGTACAACTTGTGGATGTAAACATGTTGTTTACTAGTTAAACCACTGCTAAAGATTGTACAATTTGTGAAGCACTGTGGGGTAGCCTAGTGGTTAAAGCGTTTGCCCGTCACGCCGAAGATCCGGGTTCGAATCCCCACATGGGTACAATGTGTGAAGCCCATTTCTGGTGTCCCCCGCCGTGATATTGGAGGAATATTGGTAAAAGCGGTGTAAAACCAAACTCACTCACTCACTCACAACCTGTGAATGTAAATGTGTTGTTTACTAGTTAAACCACTCCAAGATGTCTGAATGTTACAGGTGCTTTTGCTAGTTAAACAACACATGCTATTACTGTACAAGGCTATGCTTGCAGTTATTTTCTTCAATAAAGGGATCAGCCATGTTTCTCTATCTGTAGGTCGGTAAGGCTGGCATGTTGCTGGCTCTAATGTTAAACAACAAACCTTGATGCGTTATAGGTACTGTTGGTTTCTTGCCTCAGGTGAGATAGGGTGAAATAGGTGAAGTAGGATTTAGGTCTTGTTCCAGATTGTTGCACTTTTATTGGCAAGATAATAAAAGGGGAGGCCATGTTAAAAGTCTTCATAATCAGATCACATGGTACATTTTCATATACACTGAACATCTCCATCTCTCGCTATTGTTAATCCGAGGTCACATGGCATGGTATGTCATTTACGGTTATCATTAATCTCTGGTCACATGGCCTCGTACGTTAGTTTCAGAGTATTGTTAATCTGAGGTCACTTGCCATAGTACATCTGTTTCGGCTATCGTTAATCTCTTGTCACATGGCACAGTACATCAGTTTCACTGTATTGTAAATCTGAGGTCACTTGCCATAGTACATCTGTTTCGGCTATCATTAATCTCTTGTCACATGGCACAGTACATCAGTTTCACTGTATTGTAAATCTGAGGTCACTTGCCATAGTACATCTGTTTCGGCTATCATTAAATCTCTGGTCACATGGCACAGTACATCAGTTTCACTGTATTGTAAATCTGAGGTCACTTGCCATAGTACATTTGTTTCGGCTATCGTTAATCTCTGGTCACATGGCACAGTACATCAGTTTCACTGTATTGTAAATCTGAGGTAACTTGCCATAGTACATTTGTTTCGGCTATCGTTAATCTCTGGTCACATGGCACAGTACATCAGTTTCACTGTATTGTAAATCTGAGGTCACTTGCCATAGTACATTTGTTTCGGCTATCCTTAATCTCAGGTCACATGGCACAGTACATCAGTTTCACTGTATTGTAAATCTGAGGTAACTTGCCATAGTACATCAGTTTCAGCTATCGTTAATCTCTGCTCAACTGGCGTAATGCATTCATTTCAGCTATCCTTAATCTCAGGTCACATGGCACAGTACATCAGTTTCACTGTATTGTAAATCTGAGGTAACTTGCCATAGTTCAATCGTTTCGGCTATCATTAATCTCTGCTCAAAGGGCATAATGCATTTCAGCTATCGTTAACCTCACATGGCACAGTACATTAGTTTCAGTATATCATAAATCTGAGGTCACTTAACTAGTACATCGGCTGGTGTATCATTTAACCCTTAAGCATTAGTAATAAACGGGCCTTCAAGATCATATAGTTGATGGGGACAAATTATATTCTTATATTTTCATAATTTTATCCACTTTTGACCGATATTCATCTAAGTCTTTCAGGTCATTGTCCTAGAAACACTGAAACTCTGAAGTCCAACAGTTACAGCTCGCATATACTGTTGCTGCTCCTTACCAAATCAGAAATACCTTTTTCATTAATCTGTATTGAAAATAGATAGCTTAGCAATGTTTGTTTATCGATCTGAGTGAAGATTGGTTAAAAGAAATGATATATGCAGCGGTATTGATTTTACAGAGATTTAATATTACTGAGTGTCAGTATCAACATGAAGTTGTTTGGCAGATGTATCTTGTTGTGTACAGCATGAACGTGGGAAGAGTTTCTGGCGGGTTCTCTGTATAGTATTCAGTGTCATCTGAAGAGAGAAATTGCAATGGTAAACACTGCACATAAAATTCACTGCAGTTGGCATGTCATGTTTTGTTTTAAGTGTGACTTAAGAACAATACTTCTAAACACTAGAGCTGGCCTTTTTTCTTTTTATAGGGATTAAATGTTTAAGATTCAGGTATATAGGTAAAAATGCTTCAAATTTGAAAAATAATTTGCTTTCAAATAATTGGTTTGTAACAGATGTATTGTTTTAAGATAAGTTTTTAAAAAAGTGTTTTAAACTATTTTTTATATTTGGATTGCTACACTGAGAAATCTATGATTAAAACTATGTAGTATAAAAAAATCTTTGAATGAATGTGGACTATCCTCTCAGTGGGACAATCATTTTATGCTACTTTGAAAGGAGCTAACAAGCCCTGGTCTTCTGGTAACAGACAATACATTGAATGAAGGAGGTCTGATGTAATTTATCATCTGGGTTTGATGTGGGATGAATCTGTCGAGCAACCAAAATATTGTATGGAACTCGTTTCTTTGAAACAGGGCAATACTTTTTCTGCTGATACAGATTTCTTGAGCCATATTAACAAGGTGAAGGTCAATACACCATGGCGGAAATAAAACACAGTGTATAGAAAATCGGAACTGGTGTTGTCTCTAGCTTCTACAACTGTTCATTGTCTTGCACAAGATTTATACAAGGATTCCGGAGTCGGTAGTTGATGATCCATAAAAAATGACTTTAGTGTTACAAGAGCACACAGTATTATTATCGGAGATAAATTGGTTTTAAGGACGAGGACCAGGCCCTCATTTCATGTGTAAATTATTGTGTTTCAGGGGACCTTTCAGTGTGGTTAGAAGATGTCTCCACAAAGAGACGGCCCAACAATTTGCCGTCAAGATTGTCGATGTAGCCAAGTTCACTTCCAGCCCTGGTCTTGGAACAGAAGGTGAGTGGGCGACTTTGTGTCTTGTCACATCTTAGGCAAGACTTATTTTCATTCATTTTGTTTTATGCAGTCTTGTTTCATATTGCTACTGTCCCAAGAACTGGGACAGGTTAATCGTGTATTATATTGTGGATGAAAACTCCCCAGTCATATTTACAGCAACGTTATAAAACTATGGTTTGTTTGCACCAGCCTTGAACAGCTTCTACAATGTGTGAAGCCCATTTCTGGTGTCAAGCCATCCAGTCCCCACATGTGTCCGATGTCCATCGGTTCCCAATTGTGCAGATCGATGCTCATGCTGTGATGTTGCTGGAATATTGCTAAAAGCGGCGTAAAACCAAACTCAGTCAGTCACCCTTTGAAGATCCTTGTTAAAATTATACTTCAGCAACCCATCCTCATTGCAGTCACCCTTTGAAGATCCTTGTTAACATTATTCTTCAGCAACCCATCCTCAATGCAGTCACCTTGTTAACATTATTCTTCAGCAACCCCTCCTCAATGCAGTCACCCTTTGAAGATCCTTGTTAACATTATTCTTCAGCAACCCATCCTCAATGCAGTCACCTTGTTAACATTATTCTTCAGCAACCCCTCCTCAATGCAGTCACCCTTTGAAGATCCTTGTTAACATTATTCTTCAGCAACCCATCCTCAATGCAGTCACCCTTTGAAGATCCTTGTTAACATTATTCTTCAGCAACCCATCCTCATTGCAGTCACCTTGTTAACATTATTCTTCAGCAACCCATCCTCAATGCAGTCACCCTTTGAAGATCCTTGTTAACATTATTCTTCAGCAACCCATCCTCAATGCAGTCACCCTTTGAAGATCTCTTTATTCTTCAAGATCCTTGTTAACATTATTCTTCAGCAACCCCATCCTCAATGCAGTCACCCTTTGAAGATCCTTGTTAACATTATTCTTCAGCAACCCATCCTCAATGCAGTCACCTTGTTAACATTATTCTTCAGCAACCCCTCCTCAATGCAGTCACCCTTTGAAGATCCTTGTTAACATTATTCATCAGCAACCAATGCTCATTGTTGTCTCCCAATAGTCGATGCTCTTGATGTCAATCACTGAATTGCTTGGTCCAGGCCTGACTATTTACAGAGTCTATACACAATGCTGAAAAATTGCGACATTAAACAAACAAGAAATCTCTCCAGTTGGCAAGACATGTATTCGGTGCTGGGGACCTATCCTGACCCAGAAGCTGTGACTGTTTGTTAGATGCCTGTCAGTTGTCATGGAAACAGACAAGTAAAGATTCTTCTATTTCTGCTTCCGTCCCAAAGAGAAACATGGATCCTGATAGATCCATGAGGATTTTTGTTTCTCAAAAAGTTAAAAAACAACAACAGTGCTGTGAATAACATTCCATCATATTGTCACAGTGTTACAATGAAAGACAAAAACATTGATCAGAGCTTCAAGGAACGCCAAAAAGACATGAAGATTCTTCCATTTGTCGTTAATGGTTAGGGCAGTCAAAGGTACACTGCATGAAGTGTTTTAACAAACCAACTGTTAGACCAAACATTTAATGCGTCGTGTGATGGAAGCAGGCGTTACTGTTGGAAACAAAACCTTTTTGAATGTGCGTTTCTGGAAACATTTTTAGTTTTGATCCACAACTGATCATTTTTCACAAAATCTTGTCAGTTATCGGAATATCAAAATCTTGCTGGTAAAGCGGGATAATGAGAGTTAAAGGTTTCGGGCCAGTTTCTCACGCCTTCAGTATAAATGCACAAGTTTTACTTTCCTGAAACGATATTCTGCGAACATATGCATGAACATGCAACTCACAGTAAATCAAGAGTAGAATATTATGAAGGCAGAGAAAGCCTTCAAAAAATTCTTCTATTTCTGGGTCCATCAGAAAGGAATACGTAGGTCAGAACTCTCATCTGGCAAATTTAAGGCCTAGTCCTTTTTGGGACAGTTTAGTCCAACCAAAATTTTGCATGCTTTTGGGTTGTGGGAAGTTGCAAGTTGGCATCAGTTTGACATATTGCACTCATTATGTCCTGTGTGAATGATTTATTATTTGAAGTATAAATGATTTTTTTCCCAGAATTTTTAAATACAAGATTTAGCCATCCCCCGCCTTTGAAATTTATTCTCATTGTAAAATTTCTCTTTGCAGAAATATATTTTGGGACTGAGATCAGATAAGGTTTGAGATCATTGAGATTGTTTTAAATAAGTATTGTGGTGTTTAATGCAGGAGTGAGTGAGTAAGTTTAGTTTTGCGCCGCACTCAGCAATATTCACGTTTTATGGCGGCGGTCTGTAAATAATCGAGTCTGGACCAGACAATCCAGTGATTAACAGCATGAGCATCAATCTGCGCATTTGGGAACCGATGACATGTGTCAACCAAGTCAGCAAGCCTAGCCACCCGATCCCGTTAGTGTCGTCCTACGACAATTATGGGTTACTGAAAATCAATATTCTAACCCGCACCTTCACGGGTCTTATGTCCCCATTCTGTGATGTTGCAATATTGCTCAATACTGTATAAAAACTTGCTCTCTCACTCACAAACTCACTGTCACACCCAGATCAGATTAGAACATTTAAGGAAAGAAACTTATTTTATCAGTAAGTGAGTAGCCATCTTCTGAATCTAAACTTTGGGATTTATATTGGACCTTCAGAGAGGTGCGATACTCCTGTCTACAGTTGAACTTGCACAACCAGTCATAAATCTTCGGTTCAGACATGTAGACATTTTTATCATAAGCCTCTTTCAAATGCGCTTAAAGTATTTTTGTTTCGCAAAGTAAGCAACAAAATCCAGATTTACAGCCGTACTGCCGGGGACTGTGTGAACACGAGCTGATCACACATGACCTTCCTGTAATCTTCTCTATCTCCAGATATTTAAATGCACCAACACAGACTTTTTCATTTTGAGAAATCACACGAGACTTGTTATCTCTGTTCGTGGGTGTCCGGGGATTTTGTGTCAGTGAGGATTTTGTTTGCTTCAGAATTTGTATTGTAATCTCATCAGTTATAAGCCCTTGGGAGTCAGTACCAGCTGAGGTTGTAAGTTTAGCACTAATCATTATGTTAGATTTATGTTGACACAAATAATGAGATCTGATATAGGACACTAAACCTGATATCAGATAACAGCAGCACTAATCACAGATCTGATAGCAGCACCACTAATCCTGAGATCTGATCTACAACACTAATTGTGAGATCTGATATACAACAGCACTGATATACAACACTTATCGTGAGATCTGATATACAACAGCACCAAACAAGAGGTCAGATATACAACAGCACTAAACATGAGGTCAGATATACAACAGCACTAAACAGGAGGTCAGATATACAACAGCACCAAACAAGAGGTCAGATATAAAACAGCACCAAACATGAGGTCAGATATACAACAGCACCAAACAAGAGGTCATATAAACAAGAGGTCAGATATACAACAGCACTAAACAAGAGGTCAGATATACAAACAAGAGGTCAGATATACAACAGCTGTAAACAAGAGGTCAGCACCAAACAAGAGGTCAGATATACAACAGCACCAAACAAGAGGTCAGATATACAACAGCACCAAACAAGAGGTCAGATATACAACAGCACCAAACAAGCACCAAACAAGAGGTCAGATATACAACAGCACCAAACAAGAGGTCAGATATACAACAGCACCAAACAAGAGGTCAGATATACAACAGCACCAAACAAGAGGTCAGATATACAACAGCACCAAACAAGAGGTCAGATATACAACAGCAAGACATCAGATATACAACAGCACTAAACAAGAGGTTAGATATACAACAGCACCAAACAAGAGGTCAGATATACAACACCAAACACCAAACAAGAGGTCAGATATACAACAGGTCAGATATACAACAGCAGCACCAAACAAGAGGTCAGATATACAACAGCACTAAACAAGAGGTCAGATATACAGCAGCAAACAAGAGGTCAGATATACAACAGCACCAAACAACAGCACCAAACAAGAGGTCAGATATACAACAGCACCAAACAGATATACAACAGCACCAAACAAGAGGTCAGATATACAACAGCACCAAACAAGAGGCACCAAACAAGAGGTCAGATATACAACAGCACACCAAACAAGAGATATCAGATATAGAATACAACAGCACCAAACACAGGTCAGATATACAACAGCACCAACAACAGGTCAGATATACAAAGCACAAAGAGGTCAGATATACAACAGCACCAAACAAGAGGTCAGATATACAACAGCACTAAACAAAGAGGTCAGATATACAACAGCACACCAAACAAGAGGTCAGATATACAACAGCATATACAGGTCAGATATACAACAGCACCAAACAGCAGATACTAAACAAGAGGTCAGATATACAACAGCACCAAACAAGAGGTCAGATATACAACAGCACCAAACAAGAGGTCAGATATACAACAGCACCAAACAAGAGGAGGTCAGATATATAAACAAGAGGTCAGATATACAACAGCACCAAACAAGAGGTCAGATATACAACAGCACCAAACAAGAGGTCAGATATACAACAGCACCAAACAAGAGGTCAGATATAAACAACAGCACCAAAGCACAAACAGAGTCAGATATACAACAGCACCAAACAAGAGGTCAGATATACAACAGCACCAAACAAGAGGTCAGATATACAACAGCACCAAACAAGAGGTCAGATCAGATATACAACAGCAGATATACAAACAAACAAGAGGTCAGATATACAACAGCACCAAACAAGAGGTCAGATATACAACAGCACCAAACAAGAGGTCAGATATACAGCAGCACAGAAACAAGAGGTCAGATATACAACAGCAGGTCAGAAACAACAGAGGTCAGATATACAACAGCAGGTCAGATATACAACAGCACTAAACAAGAGGTCATACAACAGCACCAAACAAGAGGTCAGATATACAACAGCACCAAACAAGAGGTCAGATATACAACAGC